AAAAGAGTCTGCTGTGCTGTGCAAGAGTATTCTGTTCCTGTTAGTAGAGGACTCTGACAAAAATGGTTCTTGTTTCCTCATTAGCATTCCTGTACGTACCACTTTATGACAAGCACACGTTTTGTCCTGAAGTTATTTTTCTGGTGTTGCATATAAAGTAAATACAGGTGATGCAAGTGGAGCAGAGAGTTAGTATTCTGCATTACTTATTATTGCTATTCTCTTCTTCTATGAAAGATTTAAGAGGTTTGTTTGTATGTGTGTTTATTTTATGTTACCCCATTACCAAAAGAGTGCCATGAGAGAGAAAAGGGCCTGAGGCCGAATGCTTTATAATGGCTTTGTCAGTAATTTAATTTGGCCTGATTTTTGTAGTGAACAAATGCTTAAGGAGTACTAAGTGAAATTTGCATTGTAATTCTGAAGCACTCATAGTGTTGCAGAATATTTAAATAACATAAAAGACTGAATGCAAATCGTAATACATCCTTAAAACCCCTAGACACATGTAGTACATTTGATTTTAAGAAAAAGCTACCTTCCGATATGACAGCCCAACATATCAAATGATGCGTCTCGCTTGACATTTTAAAGATGTAATTTAAATTGTTCTAAAGAGCTGACTTACCTTGTTGTGAAGATATGGCAGAACTACGTGTCCTAGTCTTTGTCAAAGACAGACTATCTTGCAAAATATCAAACCCTTGTCTATTTTGGACTGACTTCATTAATACAAAGTGTTAGTATCCAAGAGTTTCATACAAGCAAAAATTTTGATCTTTTAATACAGAAAGAAACAGGAGGAAGACTATTTCCTACCAGCAATACACAGATGCTCTCAATGTTGGTTTTTCATGTTTAGCTGGTAAAAATAAATCTCTCTTGCTCTTTCTAGAAATGTATTAGCAAAGAAGTGCAGTGTCAATGTTTATTATACCAAACAATGAAAATTAACTCAAGAAATGGTACATGACAAAAATGCAAAAAAAGGATAACACAAGGAGAAGAAATTAATTCAATATTTTATTTTTAGCTGAACTCATAGGGTGATAAAAATGTGTATTTTTAAGAGTTCTCATCAGCTGGACCGCATTTATAGCAGAAGTTATCAGCCCATATGAGCTGCCATGTTTTGTCAGAATGTTGTTGGAATCAATAGCTGAAAATTAAAAAAAAAATATGAAAGCTTGTATTTTTGAAAGTAAGAACATTATTTATTATTCATAAAACATAAAATTAATTTCATATAGTTGCAAAAGCGACACAGCCAGGTATGGGGACAGGAGTTGATGAGCTTTACAGAAGTCTTGAGTTCAACAGGGCGTTACTTCCTTCCTGGGAGAAGCAATGGCTGCTTACGCTGCTGCCTTGTGTCATCAAACCCCATGAGCCAGTCTTGCGCCTGACCCTCTTGCACACTTTTTGTGACCCCAAGGAAAATATTTACATTTATTTTGTTTCAGATCCTTACTGTAAGAAAGGGAAAATCCATCTTCCTTTTCCTTTCCCTGTGTCTCCTTTATTTGTGTATCTCTGGGGCAGAATGTGATGCCTGATTCGTTAAGGATGTTAAAGATGATGTAATTAGGAGGTACAGGTATTTCCCAAAAGTGTAGAAGGACCTGAAGGCTTGTTTTATATTTCTCCGGGGGAGAGCAGAAGAGGAAAGTCTCCACCTACACAAGAAGAGGGTCTTACCTAAGGAGGTTCCCTCAGGAGCAGAGGAGGATGAGTTCCCTGCTCAGGATAGTTTCTGGAGATGGTGGAGAGGTGGAGATGGTGAAGGTGCTGAAGCAGAGAGTCCGGGAACGTAAACAGCTGATTTGTCAGCTTTGCTGCAAACCTCCTAAGCAAGCTCCTCTGGCAAACTTCATCAGAGGTGACTGGATTCTGACATCTCAAAATTACTGCTGCATAATTTGAAACACACCTGTTCATCACTCACATGTTGCCTTGTGTAACACATCTCATTAGCACCTTCTGGCAAACCTCAGTGGAAGTATTCTGGACTAGCTAGTTGTGAGAAGGGCATAGAACAAAGTTGCCCAACGTGATTTACCCGCAGGATTTCTGCACCCAGATGGTAAACCTCACATTAGATCTAAAATTAGCTCTATATCTTAGACCATAGTGGACAAATTAAAACAGAAAGGATATTTGCGAGTAGCTTGTATTGAAACAGAAGCAATCTGAGCTTATTTTTGTTTGATGCTGATTACTCTCAGTAAATTTGGGGGTTTTGACTGATGTAATCAAAATGCTGCCAAATTTGGTAGTGTGGTGCTATATAGTAATGCAAATAGCACGGCTCAGGTTTGACATCAGTGGCTTCAGAAAGGCAAGGTAGAGACAGGAAATTCAGCTTCAAAAAAAACAATTACTTTGAAGGCTGCCAGAAAATTGAATATCCTCAATAGTGCAGCATAGTTTTCTTAAAGAAGATGCCAGTTTCGGGTACAGAGAAAGAGCCCCAGCTTACGCAGTGTTCAGCAGAGCTAAATAGAGCACGAGTGAGTTCTTCCCCAGGAAAAAGGCAACAATCCAATAATTCACTGGGTGTTAACCAGTCTTGCTTCTCACATGGTGAACTTTGGTGGTGGGGTTTCTCAAGGTCTGCTGTACAAGTCCGTACGCAGTCCCAGCTCTGAAGCAGTCTTTTGGATGTGTGGCTAAAATGTTGTTTAAATATGTTCTTCAGGAAGGAAGGACATGACAGGCAATGCCATTCAAACTCTGATTGGTTTTTTATTTTGAAATTATACCTTAGATTCTTGACACAGAAGTAATAAAATGCTTCTGAAAGCATGCTTCTTTTTACTTTTCTCTCCCTGCCACCTTTTTTCTTTTTTTTTAATTTTTTTTTGTTCTTTCTTCCTTTTTTCTTTTTTTTCCCCCTCGTTTCTTTTTTTATTCCCTTCTTTTTGGGTGGTCTTTCTGAGATAATTAAATGTATTTCAAAGGGGAATTAGCTAGGACTTTTTTTTCCTATATTATTATTTTACTCCTTTACTCTGAAATACAATCACACTGCACGCGCTACTAATAAAATACATCTTAGCTGTCATTGTGACTGGAACTCACAGAGGTGTAACTCCTCTGCGTGGATGAAAGCTGACAACACTAATTTGAAAACAGAGCCTTTGTAGTGGGCTGGGCAAATTTTTCATAATATATTGAAGGAGCCTTAATAGTTTGCCGCTGACCGAAGAAATGTCCTCTTGCAGATGGCGAGAGTTGCCACAGGGGACAACCACAGCATTCCTTGATGAGCCTCAGCAAAGGGCCAGGACTTGCCACGTGCTCGGCCGCACGGTTCCACAGCCGCAGAACACAGACCTGGCGAGGGAGGGAGAGTTTAAGGAACTATTTTTCAGCACAATGGGATGTTTTCTTACCAGCAGCCCAAGATAATCAATTTAAATTTTATTTTTTTTTTGTGTTAGGTCAAAGCGCAAGTCCTAGTAGACTAAGAACATAAAGTGTGTGTTGCCAAATGATTTTTTTAAAGACTAATTATTCGATTTTAAGACATATTGGCCCTTATGCTCAGTCTCCAGTAGCATTTTAAATCGAAATGAAGTTTGGATTACGCTCTTATTTTTAGTACTTAAACTCACTTGCTTTAAGAGGCATGGTACAATTCAAAGGTGTTGTGGATATTTTTTTCCCTTCTTCTGTATTTTTTGTACCTTTCTTTTTTCGTTTTCCCCCACAGAATGGAACTCCATTAGATTGTCTACTCACACATTCCCATTTTCCCCAGATATTATGGTGACTTCTTCAGCTCCCATACAGCCTCTGTGTACAGGACCTAGATGCTTTTTCCAGAGAAACTCAACTTTTGAAATGTTCCCAGAAATTTCTGTATCAATATAGTTCAAGTATGTGTTGCCTGGTTTGAAGGTTCCTCTGCCAAAAGAAAAGCATAGAAGTGATGCTCTGTGTTCCCTAAAATGATTTAAAAAAAAATAAAAATGCTGCACTTGAGTCAGAAAGGGAGATGAGTTGTGGGATGCTAAGAGAGTTGAAATTTTGAATGCAATTGTTATATTTTTCATTACAATTTTTTTCAAGAATTACCAATCAGGGAAAATTTAGCTTAGCACACAGGGCTCTTGATGTGGAGCCTTATGCAGATCCAAAGCTTTCAGCTCAGGCATTCGAGGACCGTATCTCAGGTGCAGAAACACCAAGTTCTGTCCTCTCCGCTGACTAATCATTCAAGCCATGTAACAAAGTCTTTTATCAAGTCCTCAAACCTTAGATTTTTGGTACAGAAAATATATCAAATACTTTTTTTAGACAAACATTGCAGCAGGGCTAAACTTAAGGGAAGATTAAAAAAACCCCTCAAACCTCACTAAAAGTACAATAAACTTTTTTTGTAAGGATCAGAATGAAATGTCTTGTTTACGTTTTGGTAGATTTCCTCCTCTAAATCAGTGTTGCAATTTTTTGCCTTCACTGAAGGTATTGTGGTGGTGCTGAGGCTACCTCATCTCTCCCAGGACGATTTATCCTGAATACCTGGGGGAAGTTCTGAGGAGTAAATGTCACTTTTTTTCCCCACCTTAGTCTATGGTGCAGATACCAGCCAGGCAAATTGGTGAAGGCTCAGCACAGTTCCTAAGCAAGCTGCAGCTTTCTTACTTGTGTATTCCTGAGATTAAATGACTGCACATCCTGCAGCTCTTTGCCTTCTCAGAGATCACCAAAGGGTGTCTAAGTCCAGCAGTAGCCATGGAGCACTTTGCTCTTGCTGACTCCTTTGCTATGCTAACCTTCATCCTCAGGAAAGAAAATACAGGGCAGAAGAGACCAGCAAGCGGATTTAGACCACGGTCTGGGGTGCAGCATGGGGTACTCGAACCACTTATCCGTTACTTTTATTACCAGTGGAAATCACAGATCACATAGAATGAGCCGTGAAAAAATATCTGTGTATAAATTCAATCCGACAGCAGTGATAAGGCCATTTTTTCAAGTCATATTAAACTTACTTGTCAATTGTATATTTTTTCCTGATCCCATTAGTTCCAGTCAAGGCTACATCTATATTTCCTTTCATGTTTTCTGTTGCAGACACTCGGACGTGTATCTCTTTTCGCCAGCCTTTGAAAGCAAAACGAAACAGATTGTGGTTTTTAAGGAGATTTCTTTCTTAATGGTAAAACTTCTCAAGTCTTTCATGGAGAGGAAAGGATTGCACAAATGTGCTTGTAAGCAAACAAAATGTTGCTCTTTATTAAGGCAGATGTTAGTTCTATGTGATTCTGGTAATATTAATTTCCTTGGCAGTGGTCTAAATCACAGATCCAATCTTTGACGACCTACTGACTATGCCGAGTGCTTAACCTGCCCTGGGCAATACTGTAACCGTGTTCATTTTGTTATTTCTTACACTTATGAGCAATTTGTGGGGGGCCTCATGGGTAGCATGTTAGCTCTCAATTCCCAAGTGAGGCGCACTGGACTGCGGTGTCGTTAAAGCTGTATTAAACAAAACTGGCTGCTTCCCCATGATGAATCCGACATATAGAGTGTTTGGGGCTTTTTCTCATACGTGTGCCCAGCTCAGCAGCCATCAGGAGATCCTGTCATCCCACGTCTTCCTGAGGCAGGAGCAGGGTCTCGGTGCAGTAGCCCGTATTGGTTCAAGCAACCAGGTTTAGGAAGTTTTTGTACTGGCTTTAATTCAGGCTATTATAGGAAGATCTCTCCACTCACTTCATGAGGCTATATTTGGGTTCAGGCTATAATTCCTGTAAGCTCAACAGTTTGTAAATGTTGAAATTAATGTATTTATTCAGCTTTTGAGAAATGGCTAGTTTACCTTTTTTTTTTTACTTTTTGCTCTTATGGAAATGTGATATAATTTTTGTTTGATTCTTAATTTTGCTTTCATATTTTAGTACCTAGTGAATGAGGACCTCAAAGACCATCACTCATTTACTATTGTCATAGTTCATTGCTTTTGATGGATTAGAATTTATTTATGAATTTTCTTTTTCCCAGTTCTGTGGCTACTTCTTCATTAATCACTGTTGATCTTCATTAATGGCTGTTGAAACTATACTTCTTATTACTCCCTGCCATTTTGACTTGATGAGCTTTGCAAAAAATATGCTGAAATAATGCAATTTTATAAATCCTTGGCAATAAAAACAACGTAACTTTTTTTCTGTATTTGAAATTTTGCACTTTCAGCATAGTATTACTCCCACTTCACCTTTATAGGATTTTTGAAGCCATCATCAAATCAATAAAATTTTAGCAGGGTTTTTAACTCAGAGGTCCGCATCAGATGATCTGTTTCTATCATTATCTCAGACTTTCCCAGATAATGCTGCTACTGCATGTTCCTAACACACCTGAAACTCTAAATTTTTTGCTGGGTACCACCCACTAACTCCAGCAGCTCTCTGTTGAAATCTAAGATATTTGTTTGCATGTAATTCATCACCTCTTTAGAACTCGCCACCCCAAATGAGCACTTACGAGCATACGGGCGGGAGGGCCCTGTGTTTAAATAAACCTTTTGCTCTTCTTTTTCAGTTTTATGTAAAAACTTATCAGCGTAATGACCCATCAGTGGGCATCCTTCCTTCGGACATGGGAAGCAGTGTCCCTGGGGAAAAATAACAATGTGTGTTACAACTCATTATCTGCCTTAATCCCACTTAAAGTTTAAGAAATGAGGGTATTTCAGCTTTTTTTTCCAGCTTATTTGAAAAGGTACTGAGTTCAGATCCTATCTTCAGTATTTATCAGTGTGATGAAGAAAGGAGCTGAGATGGGCAGTCAGCTTATTTCATTGAGTTGTAAGTCAGAGAGAAACACGTTGAAAATCTGGCCTAATTCCTTATACTCTTGCAGAGATCATAAGTAAATACCTCAATGCATGTTGTGCTTTGCTACCTGACCTGTAAGATAGAGGTAATACATTAATCTTTCACAGGGCCTGTTGAAAGGTTGTCTGCTAGTTACTATAAGGTGTGAAACCATCCTTAGAAGGAGGTCTGGCTGGATATCTCACTCGTGTGGTGAAGATATTTAAACTTAGGAGTACTGAAACTTGCGGTCTCACTGTGCGATGTGTCTGCTTTCAGTTTTTATCTCCATGCAGAACCTTAATGAAATTAATCTACCTACACAGATCAAACATTCAGATCAAGACCTTGACAATCTTTTAAAAAAAAGAAAAAAAGAAAAGCATGGACATTTTCAGTGAAAGTGATTTAGTTACCACTGGAAAGAATAGCACTGTTATATTTAGATAATTCAGTTTTGATATTTGGGAAGTGCTTTATGTACTGGTAATAAAAGTCTAAATGAACATCGTCACTTGTTTGAGGTTCAAAAAAAAAAGCAAGACACTTCCCTTGCATCACTAAATTGCACAAGGTTGAGGTTTTCAAGTCCTAAATTACACCAAATTTTCAAGTTATGTGGCAACATGGTTACAAACATTAACAACTGTTCCACCGTATTGTAATCATTCCTTTTGGGAGCAGATGGAAATTAAGTCAGACTCATCTTCCTCATTGGCCTGTCACCAGTTGCTTTGCCGGAATCAGTCCACTAAATCCCACTTACACCAGGCATGGAGCACCAGGACATTACGCTTCCTTTTTGCATGTGCCGCCTGAGGGCTGTGTGAGCAACACTCTGCTCTATAAATATCTTCCCTGCCCTATACACTGTGGATGTTTATTGTTTGTACAGATGTTTAAATATTTCTGATATCCAGGGCCTGTCTTCTTGATGGCAGTTCCACCAGGTTTAGATGGACTTCCTTCAACCAGTGTCCCCTACTGCTCAC